GCTCCGGTTCTTCGATGGGCATTTGTGGCGGTATGACGACTTTACTTCCCGGCTCCTTCGCGGCTTGTTTCTTGGCGGCTTCCTTCTCTGCTGCCCATTTGTCCAGCCAGCACGGAAGTTCTTTTGGGTCGCTTCGTGCACCGTCGGGTAGTATCGTCGTGTATTGTTTCTCGGAACGCCGTGGCAATCGCGGAGTGGGCGCGAGGAGGTTCAATGCTATATAAAGCTGTCACTCATAGTCATTAGTCGCGTGCACGTTGTCATGTAGGCGCATGTGTCCGTACCCAAAAGCCCATGGCGCATAGCAGAAAGCCCAAGCCTACGAGAAGCACCCATGTTGGGGGCATTTCAATAGCATGCTTCGGGTGCGACTCGAAGCCGTAGCCTGCACCCAATCTCTGGGTATCGAAAGCGCGGTTCTCTTTCGACATGGCGGTTGCGGGGCCCTGACGAGGGCTTGTCCAGTGATGGTGCTACCGGAATGCTGTTGACATTGAGTCGGGATCGCGACCGCTGAGACCGGAACTGGCGGCGGATGGAAAGGTGTGCAATACAAAAAGGGAGACGCTGTAGTGGTCGCGCGATGGCCAATTGGCACGGGAAGATGCAACGTGGAAGCTGACGTACCTGACGGCCCGAGGTTCGTTAGTCAGCCTCGTTCTGCTGCGGCGCCCACCACCACAGCTTCTCCGCGTTGTCTTGTACTCCCTAGGCAGCTACTGCAGATATTTCACGCAAAAAACACCTAGATTTGTTGCCTCCAATTTCGCAAAGTCGTGTTGGCTGCTCCCTGGGCCGATGAGCTCAGAAGATGGCTCCCATCAGCGCTGAGTTTGGCAGAGTGGCACACACTGAAGTCTCGACGTACCCTTTCATACGGCGGCACCAGCAACGCACATATTGGTCGATAGCAAGCCGTGGGCAAAGGTCTCACGATGCGAGGTGCAATATGCGCTAGAACAAGTGTTCAACGTTACGTTAACATAAAGTATACAGATATGCAGCCTAACGACAACCCGGCGGTTTCAAAATGCCAATCCAAACACCATCGCTGTCTGTACATATGCGTGCGCGAAAAATGGATATTGCTGTCCAGAAAATCTAAGGATCCGAAAGAAGTGCGACTGAAGCGCCAGCATGAAGAGAAGCAAGCTATGCTTCTTGTTCATCTGATCGTGTAACGCGTTTGTCCTCTCCGTCTGTATATACTGTAACGTGTCAGAATCAGCCTGGTATGTAGGTGTGGTTGAGCACTCACCATGTGGACGAATGAACCAACTGCACAGGAACGCAGTCCCGAAAGTCGCTGCAAGACATACGAAAACGGTTTGTCTGTACGCGCCGACAGTGGCACTGTAGATACCGTTGAAGATGGTGGGCCCCATCACACGTGCAACAGCATGAAGTAAGCCCGTGGCACCTAACAGTTGACCGACCTGATCTTGCGGCACATGTTTGGTCAATGCAGCGCCAAGAGTGGGCGAACCGATACCGCCAATGGCAGCAATAGCGCCAGAGAGTGCGAAGAGCTCGCCTTTGCGGACAAGGGCATATCCGAGGAAGCCAGCCATGTCGAAGAAGATGGCTGCACGGATAATGGAAAGGTCGAATAGGTCAGAACCTGAACTGCGCATGCGGGCAGCCCCATTCTTCCCGCGGAAGATGCGGGTCAGAATCGGCAGAATGACTAGAAGAGCAAAAACACGCGAGCTGTTCACGATAGTGGTAAAGCGGCCGCTTTCTAGCTCATGCCAATCAAATTGGCGGCGCGTGTAGACGAGGACAACGCTCATGGCACCCATTGCGACACCAAACATGATGGTATCGGTAGCGGCCAACAGAAGCAGGTTCCAGCGCAAAGCCGACGAGGTGCCAGGTCCAGTCGGCCAGAGAATCTTCAGTGGGCCAAACAGGTTGATAGAGCGTAGCTGGTTGATGAAGTCGCCGGCGGGACCCTGTCGTTCCACTTCCTCTCTGCGCTTCTCACGTGCGGCTTCCTGGCGTGCTTTGCTGAGCGATTCGGGGACAAGGAAGGCAAGGAATGCAATGAAGATCAAGTGGGCACCAAGGGCCATGTAGAAGATGAGCAAAACGGCTTCGGTCTTGCCAACGTACTTCTGGCGCGCATTGATGATGTAGCCTGCCAGCGCGGGTCCGATGGCGATGCCGCCAAACAAGCAAGCGTGGAAGTAGGAAAAGGCGACGTTTCGCTTCTGTGGTGCAACGCAGTCGGAGGCATACGAGTGGGCACATGCCATGCCGACGATGAAGGATCCCGATACGCCCTCCAAGCAGTAGCCAACGAGTATCCAGTTGACGTGCACCGTGTCGGGGAATTTGGCGGCCAGGATTGTGAGGACCTCGCCAAAGAGGGCGCCGCAGGTGTTGGCTATCATGAACTTCTTGCGCCCGTACCGATCCGAGAGGGCGCCAATCTTTGGGCTGATGATGGCGGAGAGTATGCCGGAGCACAAGCTGGCGTACAGGAGGAAGAGGGAGGAGCGCGAGGACACGGCGTCGTTCTGGCATCGGTCCTGGCCCGGGTCCATGGGAGAGGATATGGGGTCGGTCTCGAGGGTCGCGTAGTACTCCTCGCAGACGAGGTCCATGATCAGGTTGATCTTGGGCACGATGATGCCGCCAAACGCGATGGTGAAGAGCAGGAAGGGAGGCAGGAGCCAGAATATCTGCTGCCGTCAGTCGATGCGCCCTCGACGCGAGGGGCTGCGGGGGCGTACCGAAGGGCGCTTCCACCAGGGAAGGCCGCGAAAGTCGGCATCGCCAGCCCATTGCTCGTGTCCGCTGGCAGCCGGCGAGGCACCCAGCAGCGGCGCGTCCTCGTCGTCGCTGTCGGGGCCCGGTGTCCTGGGCGTCTTGGAGCCATGGGCGCGCGCCCTCAGCTGCTGCTCGATGTCGGTGTCCTCGACGAAGGCGGCGTCGGTGTTGGAGGCCATGGCGAGGGCTGTGTGTGGTTGAGCTGGCGTCGTCGTGGGCGTCGAGATCCGGGGTTGCGTAGCGTCGTGTCTGGGCTAGGGGGCCGCGCGCATGGCTACAAGTCGACGGCCAGGCTAACGAGCGCGACTGTAATCATCTTCGGCGTCGGGTGCAAGCGCGGACGGCAGCTTACCAACAACAGAGTGCTCGCGTCATGACGTTGCGATAGTGAATTATCACATCCCACCCATCGGCCTCTCGGGTGCACTGAGCCTCCGCCGCAGCTAGCGCCTCCCTTTCGTTGGCCAAAGCCGGACACTTGTTGCATCTTGCATCATCTGTGCAGCACGGCAGCTTTCATTTCTCGCTTGATTTATCCCGCCACATCTCAATGACGCCCTGCAAGTCCTGCAGCCTCGTTGGTCGAACAAGGTAGTTATCTACACCCGAAGCATACGCAGCATTGCGGTCTTTTTCGCTCACCAGCCCGGTGAGTGCGCATATGTACGTCCTCTTACACCCTGACCGCGCTTCCGTCTTCCGTATCTCCCTCGCAACCTCGAAGCCCGAGACCTCGGGCATAGAGAGGTCGAGGAAAATGAGATCGAAAGGTTGCGGAGCCGTGTCGTCGCTGGACCCGTTGGCGTTCTTGAAGGCATCGATGGCCTCTTGGCCACCGCCGACAGGTGTTGCACCTGCCTTGCTACACTTTTTTGCATACATGGCAAGTACCTTGAGGTTTACAGCGTTATCGTCTACCAGCAGCAGCCTAGGCTCTGCCACAGCTGCCTCTGGTGATGTACAGACTGCCGCCTCTTTTGCTTGCTCAGTATGCGCTTGTACGTCTCGGTGGTCGGGTTGGGCTCCATTAGACCTTGCTGCCATGTTCATCTCTGGAGTGACCACTGGGCTGGCGGCTGGCATTGCCAGTGGCTGCCCACCGCTTTCCTCGCCGTCTAATTGGGGGCTCCTCTCGAGTTCTAACCGGGATAGCAATGCTGTTGGCGCAGCACGACATTCGTCGGTTGCGTCTCCGCGTAATTGGCTGCGGCTCCCTTCTACTGGCTGTTGCTGATCATAAATTTTCGCGACTGATTCCTGGTCGGAGTTGTGGCGAAGCTCAGAGGGGGGGACTTGGCTAGGATACAAGTGCGCCAGCGCATCCTGGATTTTTGAACTAGTCACCGCACCCGCAATTGTCGCGACACCCTTCAAAGGCGTTGAGTACTGACTGGGAGCGGTCTGTACATCAGGGCAGAGACGGATGCGCTCGTAATCGTCAGATGCGCCACCGCGAGCCCGCAGTGCACTGTCTTCGTCCTCCTCCAAAACAACAAGCAAGCGCCACGGCGAGGCTCTGCTTGCACTTTCCCAAGGAATGACCCGAATGTGGAACCACCGGCTTAGACTCTTCGCAAGTGAGCCCAACAATAAAGCAGTACATCGCTGGTCCCGTAAGGAGTCTCCTGATCTCCAGCGCGTCGGTGTAAAGAGACTCATGTCAAGCTGGTGTAGCTCAGCAGTACCAGCCTGCGAATTTGAGCTCCCTGACACATCTTCTGATGCCTCACAAAGTGCCTGGCTCGATGGGAGTGTGACAGTGAATGTAGAGCCTTCTTTCTTGTTTGACTCAATCTGCACATCACCACTCAGCATAGTGACTGTTTGCTTGACAATGGAAAGTCCAAGGCCAGTACCTTCTGCAATGGGATCCTCCTGAGAAAATGGGTCAAAGATTGAATGGCGGATGAAGCCGGAAGAGATGCCTTTACCGCCGTCTGTACAAGATATCTTGGTAGTAGCGTCCGTGAGATCCAGTGAAACTCGAATGCAGTTTGTCGGTTCCCCAAACTTCAAGGCGTTATTCTCTCTTACGTCAGTACGGCTCATGCATGCGCTTTTTGTATCTGTACAACTTACTATAAGATTTGTCAAGATCGCCCGAAAGCTAGCGGCGGCTACCAGACGGCACGACCGATTGGCATTCGTGTCGAAAGTTATGATGGGATGATAGACAAGACCTTTTTTCCATGAGCTCTGACCGGACTTGGACCACCTCCACCAGTTTACTTACCATGCATCGAAGAATCAGGCTGGACAGCCTTTTTGACGCGATACCTGTGTACTTCACTGTGAATGATGTCCTCGCAAGTATCCATCAGCTTTACGGTATCCTTGTCTTGCGAGGAAGCTGCCGAATGATGAGGTGCAAGACTTGACGAACGGAGAAGCCCATCGTTCGATGAGTCTGATCTTGGTAGAGGTGCGCTTTGCGACCCGGAACTGATGTTGCTGAAATATAGAACGCGCTCAATAGTATCGAGCAATGACAAGCCGCTGTATCTTGCCGTCTCCAGCAGGTCGCGTTGGTGTGCGTTGTGTGGTGTGTCCGCTAAAAGCTCAAGGCTTGATAGTATGCCATGAAGAGGTGTCCGCATTTCATGTGAGATCGATCCGAGAAAGTCTGATTGAATCTTGTCTATAGCTTGAGCTTCGAGACGCCGCACTTGCGTCATTATCGTGGTGCAGAATGCTGAAATGGAAGCAAGATCCGTCGAGCCGAGATAGACTCTTGACTGATTCTCGGCGAACCCGAGGACCGCACCGATATTACGTTCGTGAAACGCATCCCACAGTGGCATCAAGACGATCTGCTCTGCCCGCAGGAAGGTTTTCGAAAGCTCCTTGAGTATGAGGGTATCTTCAACTAAAGCGACGTCGTCTGCGCTCGTAGCAACAACGATGTCGCTAGTGTCATTGAGTAATTGGAACACAGCCCCATGTGGAAATAATTCAAGCAATCTGCTTGTCAGACTGTGGCTTAGTTCTTGAGGCCTGTGCGCTTTTGGTCCGAGATGCTCGGCTAGCACGTTGGAGCCGTTCCAGATGGGGTTCTTGTTGCTTGAGGAGCCCAACTCTTGGATGCGAACTCCGTCAAATTCGAAAGTATCGTAGAGCAATGTAGCTGAAAGATGGTACAGCTGCAGAGCTGCAGCGGGATAGAGGTTTGACACCAGAACTTCATGTTCAGTATGGCCGCCTGATGAAAGATCCTTGTGAGCAGGCTGAGCCGCCAGTCCTGCGCTCGTACCCATCTTGAGTAGAGAAGCCACACCTTGGTTGAACTTGAGCACACGCTTACCCTCCAGTGCTTCTACTGCTTGTTCCAGATGACGAATAATGTGTGACGCTGTCTCAAACAAGTACGAGCGGTGGGCGTCCGAGAGCCCACCGTGCGACGGCGTTGAGCTGAACGTGAACACAGTGCCAATGTTTGGTCCTCCATAGGGGTTCAAAGGAACACCAGCATAATGTCTGAACTTGGCAATATCACCCTGAACAAATGGGAGATGTTTGGTTCTCTCCAATTCAGCCATATCAAGCTCTTCGTAGAGTGCCATGCTCCCACCTGGCTCATTCTGCCGCGTGATGGTACGCTCGCACAGACCACCGTGATGAGTTACCGACTCGCATCCGTACCATCGCGTTGAGTCTTCTGTGCCAATTAGACACTGCTAGAATTTGACGTATGTCCGCCATGCTGTTGATTCCACTCACCCAAGGTGACCTTGGCTTCATCTGCGTTGGCCCGACTGGCCCCCGAGATGAAGTATTGCGTGTGGTCGTCTAGCAAGCTGACCATGGCCAGATCAGCGCCCGTTTGATGGATGACGCAACGGAGCAACGCAGCAAGCGCGCCGTCTGGTTCATTCTTGACGTATCTGCCGTGTGGCTCCAATGGCCTGCTCGTGAGGCCAGCGTCCGAACCACGCACGTATTTGACGACAGATGGCAGCACCTGGCAGAAGCGTCGGACTTCCCATACTCGCGCGCGATCGCCGATAGTCGCGCGTTGCTGCTCGGTGAGTTCCGATAATGACATGGCTTGCGATGGCTTTTGTGGTTGTCGATGGTGCCCTCCACGCTGGTCGCATCGCCCACGGAGAACCCTGCAGACCGGCGGGGAAGTACTTTGGCGCCTCGCCGGATACCTGTGTGCGGCCGCGATGTCGTCTCACAAGCTCCGAGTGTCAATATGGTGTACAGGATATATGCGCCATGTGCAGGCGCCTTTGTAACGTCCAACCTTAGCTCTTTTCCGTGGAGTTTCCAAGCCCGAACTCGGAAGTTCGCCTCCTGGGGTCCATTTGTCGCACGCCGATGATGTCATTGGAACCGCGCCACCGTTTCCGCGGCATTGCTGCGCTGTGCGACTCTCCACGAACCAATATCACGCCATGTGCTCGAATTTCCAGGTTGTACACTAATGCGTCCGTTCCAACATTCCTCTTATATGCATCTCCTAATTCACTGATGAGTTTTGGCCTTCGGCTTATGAGTTCTTGGACCTAGGTACTTTTTGCCAAAGACCCTGCAAGACTCCAATCGCAACCAACGTTTCAAGCGACAAGAGACCAGAGATGGAATTTGGCGATGCGTGACCGACCTCAAGACAACTGTGATGCTCTGGTAGCATCGGTCGCAGCAAGAGGTCCTGCATATGCAGAAACTCAAGCGACGTGGGGCTTACTTCCTGTAAAACCATCGCGTGTCAACTTCGTCAGAAGCCATAGGGGGCCTACTGTTCTCTGGGGGTTATAGCACAAAAGTATTAACCCCGAGGTCGTCTGAGAAAGCTTCCAAGGTTAGCTCCAGTTTCACGTCGAAGTGTCTGAACTTTAGGCCTGTTCCGGCCCCTTTCTCAGGTACCTAAGTGCCTTCCGGTGAACACCACATGTCTGGTAAGTCCCTTCCTGCGCATGGAGGCGTCGAAATAAGGACTGTAGTGTCGTCCGTCGTTATTACTTACCTTTAACACTGCATACCAGCCTGATCTCAGCCTTCAGCCCGGTAAGCATCAGTCAGATGTCACTTGGTTGGGCATTGTTGCCTGCAACTGATCGGTGATCTTTCCGGCGAACAGTGGGCCTGATATGTTTTTCAGCCGTCTGTAGCCATGCTCGCGCCGCCTTTTATATGCTTCTTTCCGCGTTTCGGGGTTTGCTCCGAAAGACCGTGCGTAACCGAAGGCAACACTGACTTGCTTCATCCTGGTCAAAGTCAGCGGGTGAAATATCTCGGCAGCTCAGGTCCATCTTGGATGACGACATGAAGGTCATCCATAGTTCATGCGGGATGAGCGTCTTATCACAAGGCGACCTCGGGACATATGTGATGATGACCTGGCTTGCCTCAGTGCGAACCACTGCTTCTGCATAGTGAGGCGAGTTCTGAGTTGAGGTTATGGCTTGGCTACCTAGATAGGTGCGCATTTTACAGACACCGAAGTCCTTCAGCCTTGCCATGTATACACCACTCGTTCTAGCCCCCAACGCTAGTGCTTACAACTTGTGTCGAAAACCTCTGGTTTCGCGATCCCTACGACGTCGCCTTCTCGTTTTAATTTAGTCCATGGGTATTTCCTGGTAAATCAGTCAGAAGGAACCTTCAGAGGTAGGAGATCCAGGTGATAATGCAGCTTGGGGCTGCCTAGGTGTGCACCACCGTGGGGTCCGTCATCAGACTGTATCGGAGAGCTAATATAGACCAGAGGAACTGCGACGTCTTATCAACATCTTTATACACGATGTTGCCCCAAAGTCGATTCCAAGCGGCCCACTCCCTCGCGCCTCGGGTTCATTGATCAGCGATACGCTATTCTATCCATCAAGAAGTCCGCGCCTGGGGTCGTGCGAGGTTGCGTGTGATCAAGCCAAGCTTACTTTGTGACTGTACCATCTTTCGATTACCTGCTTCTTGAATCAAGGTAGGGTACGGCATACTGCACCTCGCGGACTAGCATCGGGTGCAGCCGACCAATGTAGTGCGCTACAAGCCGGTAGTAGCAGGTTATGGTAGGGTATCTACACTTTGTCCTTCACTGGGCTTGAGGGCCGACATGCAGGGCACAGAATGCAAGGTGTATCGGCCCGCAGGCACATAATATAGTCCGTAAGTATTGCGAACTGATTGGGAGCCTTCCAGCGAGCAACAGAAACAATGACATATGCGACCTCTGGACCTTGTGAGAACAAGGCTCCATCGCGGGGTGGGGCTATAGTCTTTGAGGTGCCTAGGTAATCGATCCGCACTCGTAATTAGTAGGCATCGGCTTCTAACCCCGTATACTGTCTTTGACATGTCTTCACAGTATTCATGGACACTCAAATGGGATTGGCAAATTTAAGTGGATTGATGTTCCCGGGTTACTCTATGAGAAACGGCGTCGCAAGGGCTATTGCTTGAGGGATACACAGGTGTGAGAACGTGGCCCTGATTCAGCCCTCTTCGCGTCTTCGACTCATTTCTGGGTCAGCCTTGTTCCAGTTGCCCTTCTAGAACTGCTCATTGGCCTTTGATAGACTCTTGATACACTTGGACTGCCCATTTCGTCATCTCATGCATCGCAGTCGACGGCTGAAAAATAGTCTTTCAATGCACAAGAGGTCTCAATGGCTCACAAATTATGTCATGATATGGGTTGCTACTTGGTAGGCTCCGGTAAACACAGATATAAGCGGTATGGGTATGAGGGTTGTTGGGCCGCGGGACTGCCGTAGGCAGATTACCCCGCCTTGCGTACCATGTCCGAGGATGGCCCAGTTCTCTGGGTTCTGTATGGCTGTTGCCCTACGCTAGGAGCAATGTAGCCGCTCCATCACTATCACATAACACGCCTCTGCTAGGTTGAAACGGCCGTGGCTGGGACTTCTCCTGTTGATTCCAGCTGCATAGCTGTTCACCTAGTTCATCATCGATTAGTACGTACAGAGATGGCACACTTAGCGTAGAAACGAGTCAAATTTAATCATATGTAGTTGCTAGACTCGGTGTTGCGTGCACGAGAAAAGGTTCCAGTAATCTGGGGTGATCAGGGCGCATAATTGAACACTAGAAACGATGAAACATCCCTGTGATCGGCCTGCTCGTGCAGTTCCCCCTCATCAAACCGTACCACTCCCTTTGAAAGCTATAATGAATGCGCGTATACACTTATTGGAACGAAGCCCAGAAGGCATTGTGCTTGTCAGGCAACAGACTGTGTGCAACACCATGATTTTCAACTGGTTGCACATATGGGCTTTTCTTTCGCATGCTGACTATGCGCAGATTGAGCGGCCATCGAGATACCTATTCAGTCCTCATTCGAGGGTAGTCTTGCACCCCACAATCAGCAGATCTTTAGTGTATAGCACACTATGCTGAGTAGTCCCTTCAAGACGCTTCGCGTGTCGATACACGACATGATTTAATCCAGAGAAAACGCCATGCTTTCTGTAACGGCCACGTTCAGACGACAGCGCAGGAGCAACTACGCCTGAGCTGGTGTAGCACATACCGCTTAGTTTACGACAGCCAGCGGCAATGCCGGAGCTGACTTGGTGATGATGGCTTGTGATCAAAATTCTCTGACCGTACTTGGTTTTCCGTTGCGAGATGATGACCATGCTGGTTCGTGCTCTATTTGACCTAGGTACGGTCAGCCAACATGCGTATGGGGAGAGGATATGAGTGTTTCAGGTCGCTATCACGGTTTGCCCGATTGCATGCACCTAGATCAACAGCTCATAGCACAATGATAGTGCGCTTGATTGGTTGAGAGTCGTGTGCGCAGTGCTTCTTGGTATTACGAAACGACTTCAACAATGGTCGCTGTGAAATTCGCGTCTACCTACAATTGGATTATTCCCTGAGCGATGCCTGACCGGACCAGGAAGGACTTGTTGTTCTGCCGCACCAGCTGGCGAAGACTTAAGGCAAAGATATTGTTGTTGGTGGTAATGGGATTGGTTACTTGACCAATCGTATGTCTTGATGTGTTTGGGCCCTGGTGCATACAGGTGACGAAAAGAACGTAATGGCATTATATCTTTCGACCAAAAGGGCATGCATTGAGGCGCACCGGTCTTTGGAAATATGAAGGTTAGGACGCGTCTTAGCAGCCTTCACTAAGCGCTTGCCAGCAATGCCTTGTGCCTCGTGCTTCGTGAGAGGGCGCAATGAGCGCTGTGTGTCTTCGGGCCAATACCGAAAGCGTGGCCACCGTTCATTGGTATCCAAGCTAATACCACGTAGGTAATCGGGGACCCGGCACATAATGGCCACGCATCGGTTGTGGAAGCAGTATCGTCCCGTGCAAGCGTTTGTAGCGCCCACGATGATCGAGTCGTCGTCCAAGCGGACTGTCGGAAATTAGTACTGATACAACATACTCGGCGTACATGTGACACCTTGCGCAGGCAAACAGATGACACTCCCTGTTCGTCGGCAGATCTGCTATGTACAAGGCAACACCCTGCATTCTGGTGGGACCAAGGACGTAGGCCTCGAAAATTCCATCCCGCTTCGTAAAATCTGAGCAAATCGGTCTTCGTGTACGTTATCTGGCTTCGGCTTACGATGACTGTCGCAAGGTCTTTTGCGGGGATAGTTGGCTTCAGATTTGAAGCGTGAGGATGTCGCAGACGCGTCAGTATTGACTTCGCGGCTGTGTTGTGGCTAGCGGGACTCTCGACGATGAGCTGAAGCAAGCAAGATGGAGGACTACACGGTACATGCACGCAGATACACAGGAACATGTAGTTAACCGGTGTGAGGCAGAGTCGAAAAACACTATGGTCTACGTTGCAAGACTTGCCTTGCCGTAGGTGAGGAGCGCTGGCACCTACGGCATTCGATGGATGAACTTTTGATGATAAGCGACAGTGTCTAGGTATTCATTGGATGGATGGTGTATGCATGGGCATGCCGTTCCAGGTTGCTTTCATAATGTGGAACGCTAACCTCGATGGAGCAGACGAGAATGTGGGGCTCATGTGGCCCCCATCATGGTGATGGCGAAAGCAAGCAGCAGAGCCGCAGACGGAACGAGCATAAGTAGGCAACGACCGCCCACCAAACCGAGCAGGAGGTTTCTTACAAGTAGGCGACGTGTTGATACCAAAGTCGACGACGCCCTTTGAGGCAGGTTTAACGGTGGCGTGCAGGAAATCATGTCCGGTGCCCAGGGACGTTTGCCTTCTTTTGCCTTGTTGCCTAGTAGGCGAACCACAGCAGAGCCGCATCTTATATTGTGTTAATGCCCACCCTGGGGGACACTCCCAAGATTCAATCTCAGTCTTCGAGTTGGAGATCTTACGTCAAACAGCTCTTTTCTTCTATTTCTGCGTTCTGTTGTACGCGAGGTTGCTGTCCCTGTCGTCCCGGACGTCGCATCTAGCCAAACCGGAGGCCTCGCACTACCTCGTCAACGTACGCAGTCCGACCCCTTGAACTTGAGCGCAGAGCATCGGACGCGTATGCGACAGTGTACAAGCTTGCCGGATCTTATTGGAGACTGCGTAGTCCAGGTCATCAGGATACAGTCCACGCTGAGGCTGGGTGTGCGCGCACGAGTGGGTATGTGCGCTCCAAAACTTCATCCAATTAGATCACATCGCTCCCCACGCCAAATACGGAGATCGGAATACGAACGCGAATCCTACACCTGAAACATTTAGCCGCATTATGGACACCGGTGAACTCGTCCAGACCAAATTCGCGCAGGCGCTCAAAACTCAGAGTCCAATCATCAGGGCCCACGCGTGCCCTTACCCCGGTCATGAGGGACGCGTCTTTCCGAGTGCCGACCAGCTGTATGACCACGGCAAGATAGACCATCGCGACGAGTTTGAAGGCTTGTCTCCGCGACAGGCAAGAGAGAAGTTTCGACAGCTAAGCCTGAAATTGAAGTGAGTACAGGCCAAGCTGCTGTACAGGCATTTGCTAGATCAGCGTTTAATATGGTTAGCAGATCTGATCACTCGGCAGCCGCAACTGTTGGAGACCGGTCAGCGCCTGATATCGCGGCTCTTACTATAGATTCTGGAAAGGCTTCCAGGCAGAACTCACCGCCCTCTGGAAGGAAACGACCGGCAGAACATGAGTTCACCAGCCCCAGAGGGAAGGGTCCGTCTCACGTGGAAGTGGCTGGTTCCGAGTTCTCTAGGCAAATTCCACAAACTGTTGTTTCGGAAAGGACACGGTCGAGACCACAGGATGCACGCCTTTTTGATCCTAAACAAAACGCCAAGTCTACCTCGTCTCCATACCAGACGACACCCGAGCCCTCCAGCGAGTGGTCAGCCGAAGCTACGAAGAGCAGTCACTTACAATCACCGCAAACTCAGTCCCCTGCTCATACACAGCAACGAACTACTCCTAAGCCCCAACAATCTCAACGCCAACCAGGTCTTATAGAGCTTCAACGCTATGATCCCCGATACCCTGGTTTACTATTGCAGCCTGATAGTCGACCCATCTCGCAAGAGCAACTTGCGTCGGAAGTGAAATCTATTTACGCAGGATTAACCATGGTGGAGACCAAGTGTATACATGTGGATCGCGCACAAGCCGCAGCTGCGCAAGATGGTGATACCAAACTTGCGTCGGATCATTGGCAAGCTTTGATCGCTCTTCACCGAACGCTATTACATGAGCATCATGACTTTTTCTTAGCTAGTCAGCATCCCTCTGCATCGCCGGCTCTCCGACGTCTTGCCGCCAAATACTCGATGCCTGCACGCATGTGGAAACATGGTATCCATTCCTTCTTGGAGTTACTTCGGCGGCGTCTTCCTGACAGTATAGATTATATGCTGGCATTCATCTATTTGGCGTATCAGATGATGGCTTTGTTGTACGAAACCGTTCCAGCTTTCGAGGATACATGGATCGAGTGCCTCGGAGACCTTGGCCGATATCGGATGGCGATTGAGGACGAAGATGTCCGGGACCGTGAGACTTGGGCAGGCGTCGCGCGCTCTTGGTACACCAAGGCTGCCGATAAGAATCCTACTGTGGGTCGTCTATATCACCACCTCGCTATCTTGGCACGACCAAATGCTCTCCAGCAAATGTACTACTACTCTAGGTCTCTGACCTGCGTCAAACCATTCCAGAGCGCGCGAGAGTCAATCTTGACTCTACTGGATCCTATTCTTGGTCGTGCAGGCGCACCTCTCACACATGCCTTAGCGATCGACACCAACTTCATCAAAGCACACGGGCTGCAATTCGAGGAGTCTTGTGTGGACACGGCTCAGGGGCAGAAGCATCAGCATACAACTGAGTTCATGGACGCGAAGGCGGACTTCATCGGAAACCTGGACAATCACATTGGTCGTGTGACAGCAAAATGGAAGGAGCAGGGTGTATACATCGCGGTTACCAATATTGCCGGCTGGTTTGAATACGGGAAAAACGACAATCTTCTTCGCCAGATTTTGCTGCTTCCGATCTGGGGGAGAGCAGAAGATCCTCAAAAGGCGACCGAAGACAAGATTCGGAGTGCATCTCCGGCTGACCAACAGAATCCAATGAAGCCTTTAATTGCCTCGAGTAAGCCCGAAGATATTGAGCAGGATATTAAGAAGGCAATGGACAAGTTCAAAGTCCTTCAGACCTTCATCAACGCAAAATCGATCACGAGGGAGACGTTCGCTCTCGTACTCCGCCGCATCGGCGACAAGAACGTGCTTCCTCACGTACACATTATGCTCGCTTTTCTTTCTAGCTTTGCTTCCAGTACATACGTTTCCGATCTCATTGAGGACGCGCCTTGGGCCGAACTCGTTGCTTTCCTTAATACGTTGGTCAAGACGGAGAACCAGATCCAGAGTCATTCACAAAGCCATACGCCCAACATCGATACAATACTGGCTTCCGGTGTATTTCCTGGGGAGGGCGAGAGGGGCGACGAGCTGCCTTTGCCTGAGGATTATCTTGTGCGAGGCTTGATCTGGGCAGACGATTACTTTCCCATCAAGTGGTTTGAGAGAGAGCATGACGAAGAGGAGCGATATTTGGAGTTGGCGAGTACAGTCAAACATCGCATGGAGAGGGTCTTGAGACTGGGCTATGCAATCGCAAAGGCAAGTACATGTTCTGCTACTTCACCTTCTTTTCTCTAACTTTGCCCTAGCATCAAGAGTGGATCACATACGCTAAGGACTCTCATACATTTTCTGTCCGGACCCAATGACGCCGGGCGCCCCAAATCGGTTTTGTGCCTACGCTTGATTCTATGCAATAGACGGTACATGTCTTTTGGTCACCCAGAGTGAGTCTGATGCTTTTTCTACACCACACCATTCCATGCGTAATTGTGAAGGATCGGACGTGCGCAATATATGGGCGCATTATCTTTTCGAGATTGCATGCGTATGTCCAAGTGTTCGGGGAAAGAGAGAATCATAAACCCAGAAAGAGATATTCGGCGCAATAGCTCTTGATTATTGTTATACGCTCATTATCTGGTAAATCATCGCTCGGTGCAGCACTGGTAGGATACAGCCAAAGGAAGTGCCAAAGCTGGGCCATGATCGTTTGCAAGCAACATAAGTGAAACACACAAATTTTATACGTTCTTCTATTATCTTGTTCGTGATTTTGTAAGGGTGACAAGTGCGCCACGCCCCAAGGATTTTCTAACAAAACTCCATGTTTGCCGGGTGACCCTGAGCTCTTTGGCAGATCTGCATCGGTAATGCCTGCCTCTCACTCCGCTCTGGATATAGAACAACTTCATCAGAACGTCGCCTGTAAGGTAGACGTCGTACAGGCCAGGCACACTACCCCACCCAAGGTCGATGTCGTCTCTGGAGCCCGGGTTTCCGGGCTAAAAGTGTACAACTTCGTAGCTAGTAGTATCACCCTTCCGACTAATTTCATACTTCCCGTACTTGTGTTTTTTTTTTTAGGCGTAAAGGTGCCCATGACGGAGGTTTTCAGCGTTGTACCAGTGTTTCTAAGGACGGGACATGGCAAGCGAAAACAAGGTCCCTCATTGGTTCTGTACATGTCTCGAGTGAATCGCGGTTATGTGCTCAGGTTGGAGTGATTGCGAGATCTCATAGGTAGGGATGCTGAGACAGTCTTATTTCCGTGCTTTTGAGAGGGTGGCATCACGCCCTGCATTTGCGGCCGGTTGTATGCAGCTTATGCATACGCATGGTATTTGATGGCGCAGTGACGATGGAAAGGTGCAGGTGATGGAAGTTGCGATGCGTTGGGAGGTGTTGAGTCGGAGAGAATCGGGATGTGCTGAGATTGGCGTTGGCGGACGGTAACGGCTTAGCGCCAAAGCGGATCCCCGAGCTGGCGGGAGCTGAGCAACTTTTCGAATCAACACCCTCTGAACCTCACGGCATACCCACGGCATACCCACGCCTCCCCCTCGGCTGCTTCCCCCACACCTCACAATGCTGTCCAGGACAATCAGGCGGAGCATTGCGTCGCCCTTCCGCCGCAATGCCGTGGCCCCAGCGGCGCGACCCGCCTTCAGGTTCGTGACGACGGATGCGGCCTCATCGCACACGGACCCGGCCAATGTGCCATCGGTAAGAGGACACGCAGGCAGCCAGCCGTGTGGCTGTCGAGCAAGCAATGGACCGTTGACTGTGTGCAGGAGGACGACAAGCCGTTCGAGATCCGCCTCTCCGACGAGGCCTTTGAGACGTACGAGCTCGACCCGCCGCCGTACACAATGAACGTCACCAAGAAGGAGCTCAAGAAGATGTACTACGACATGGTCGCCGTACGGTAGGAACACCCGCCATGCCGGGATGCGAACACGATCAGCGTCTAACAGGCAACAGACGCATGGAAATGGCCGCCGACAGGCTCTACAAGGAGAAGAAGATTCGGGGTTTCTGCCATCTGTCCACCGGCCAAGAAGCCGTCGCCGTCGGTATCGAACACGCCATCGAGCGCGCCGACCATCTCATCACCGCCTACCGCTGCCACGGCTTCGCTCTGATGCGCGGCGCATCTGTCAAGTCCATTATCGGTGAACTCCTCGGCAGGAGGGAGGGCATCGCGTACGGAAAGGGTGGCTCTATGCACATGTTTGCCCCCGGCTTCTACGGTGGTAACGGTATCGTCGGTGCCCAGGTCCCCGTCGGCGCTGGTATTGCCTTTGCCTGCCAGTACGAGAACAAGAAGAACGTCACCCTGGCTCTGTACGGAGACGGTGCTTCCAACCAGGGCCAGGTCTTTGAGGCATTCAACATGGCCAAGCTCTGGAACTTGCCCGTCATCTTTGGCTGCGAGAGTGCGTACAAACACCACGTGGACATGCGCCGGATTTACTAACACCCCGCAGACAACAAGTACGGTATGGGAACCGCCGCTAACCGCTCATCTGCCCTCACCGACTACTACAAGCGTGGACAGTACATCCCTGGTCTGAAGATCAACGGTATGGATGTCCTCGCCGTCAAGGCCGCTGTCAAGTACGGAAAGGAGTATGCCGCCGCAGGCAAGGGTCCCCTTGTGTACGAATACGTCACCTACCGTTACGGAGGACACTCCATGTCTGACCCTGGAACCACATACCGAGTAAGTCACACCGCTTTACAACATCACAAAGCATGTACTGACGAACAACCAAAGACTCGTGAGGAGATCCAGCGCATGCGCAGTACCAATGACCCCATTGCCGGCCTCAAGCAGAAGCTCCTCGACTGGGGCGTCACTTCTGAGGAGGAGCTCAAGTCGATTGACAAGCAAGCACGTTCTGAGGTCGACGAGGAGGTTGCCATTGCGGAGAAGATGGCTGTCCCCGAGGCTACTGGCAAGGTACTGTACGAGGACATCTACGTCCGTGGTTCCGAGCCTGAGTTCCTGAGGGGACGCATCCCAGAAGAGAACTTCTACTACACTGAACACGACATGGGTGGTGAGAAGAAGCCTGTTGCCAGGACAGCATAAAGCTCTTCGGCTTTTCACGGGGTCATGATTGGAGACACGGTTAGGTGATGAGAGGGATCTGTAATTCTAGGATTTAGAGGCTTCTACATGCGTGTAACAGCTAGGGAGCGCGGTCTTGCATTGAATGACATTTCTTAGAATCCCACTCAGTTTTGCTCTGTGGGGTGCACGTAGAGTGACGTTGACTTCGAGATGTGAGTTTTGAAAAAGGATAGATCATTCGCTTTTGTCCAAAGATGCTACTAGCGCCTCCGTGCGCCGGATCCCCGCAGAGATTGCAGTGGTGACGAGAACAATACTTCACGTGCTGAAGATGCAGTTTGCATAATATCTGGCATAGCGGGAGTAATAGTACATCTTCGTTGGCTATATATCTATACATATCAAACTCCAACAACCAAGACACGGTCTATGCTGTGGGAGGGTCAATGTGTTGTGTCTGACCAGCGAAGAACTCCTTTTGTGCCAAGCACCTCTCGCTTGTGCACTTTGGACACCTGAGAATCATCTGTGGGCTGCAAGCCTGCCCGCTCTGCAAATGTGCCTTGGCGATGTTCGCGAGCGCTTCGATGAAGACGGGACTGTCGTTCAAGCTGTCGACACGTTTGACACCCTCGTGGCCTTCCGCATCCTCGCCAATGACCTCCTTGTCGAGTTCGTATAGTGTCTCGATATGGTCGCTGGTGAAGGCGATGGGTACGAGGAGCATGTCTGTGTGGCCCTTCTTCATGTACTCCTTGACAGTGTCGGAGGTTTGTGCTCCGAGCCAAGGTTGAGGGCCGACCTGTGACTGCCACACGAGACGATATCTGTACTTCATCTGGAGGCGTTGCATAACGGCGTATACGGTCGCTGCCACTTCAGACGGGTATGGGTCGCCGCGGTTGACAACGGTCATGGGGAGACTGTGTGCGGAGAAGAGAATGACAACGCCGTCTCGTCTCTCGACTGGGTACTCGGCCAGCTTCTTCTCGATGTGTTGGGCAAAGGCTTCAACCAGACCTGGGTGCGCCGGCCAGCGGTCAATCACACTCCACTTGATGGCGCCTTCGGGCTCCACCTCTTGACCAGTCTCTCCGTTTGCACGCTTGCCTTCCAGTCTTGTCCTCCATTTCCAGAGCTCGTTGAGAGAGGAGCCGGTGGTCGAGCAGGAGTATTGCGGGTACTGTGTGAAGGCTACGGCACGGCCGCCCTTTCCTCCTCCAAAGCCGTCTGCTAGCAATTGCTTGTAGGTATCTTCGGTGAGGGGATTTGCGTAGCGGAACGCGACATAGGGCTTGTGGGGAGCAGTTTCAGGTGAGGTCTTGTCGAGGATCTTGCACATCTCCGCGGCTTGGTATTCCGACCATTTCCTGATGGGCGATCCGCCACCGATCTCTGCATACTGCTTCTGAATTTTTGGTGTTCGTCTCCGCGCAATGTAGGGGCCAATATAGTTTTGGAGGGGTCCGAGGGGAATCAAGTCCTTGTCGGCCTACACTCCGTAAGCTGAGAATCGATGATGCGCTTGGACCGATTACGTACAAACAACATGCTCAGGAAGCCATGCACTTCATCCGTTGTTGACGGCCCGCCCATGTTCATGAAGACCATTGCAGTCGGCCCCTTTGAGCCGGGCGTCATCTGAGTAGGGGCGACTGTCGCGTTGCCTCTCCTCCATTGTGCACTGTACGACGAGATGATGGATGTGGCGGGTGTGGTGGACGTTGCACGCTTTGCAGCGCGGGAACAGGATACGCGGAGAGCCATTGCGAGGTGTGTGACGAGAAAGAGGGCGTCTTCCCGCAGTGATGTGTCGAGGAGAAGATGCCGAGGCCAGAACAACAGCGTGAATAATGCTCGGAAGCGCAGGTCGGAGAAAGCTCTGGCCAATGGCAGCAGTCTTGTTGGCCGTTGATGACGATCGTGGCTGGCGATCGGACGCTAGGGCTTGCCCCACAGCAGCCTCGCAGACACGTGCCGACGTGTTGGAGCTAGTGCGCGCGTTCCGCTCTGCTGCCTAGGCCACTGTCCCGCGTTGCACCGGCCTGTGCTTGACAGCCTGCTGCGGCCCCAATGCCACAGGTGCCATCGCCCAGCTGAGCTGCACTTCGACAATACAGCAAGTAAACCTCACTCGAGCTGAACGCGACGGGCATCATGGCGGCTCCACAGGACAATCGACCACGTGAAGAAGAAGACGAAGAGGAGGAGATTGACGACTCTGTACGTTCCCGTTCCAGCTTTGGCATTGGCAAGCGTCACTGACAGCATGTAGAGCTACAAGACTATCAAAGACGCCGTTCTCTTCGCAATCGACGTCAGTCCTACCATGCTTGAGCAACCGCCCAAGTCGGAAGACAAGAAAGCCGAGCGCGACTCCCCCACGTCTGCTGCATTGAAATGCGCCTACCAGCTGATGCAGCAGCGCATCATCTCGAACCCAAACGACATGATGGGCATACTGCTCTTCGGTACCGAGAAGACGGACTTGAAGGACGGTGACAACACGTTTCAAAACTGCTACCTCCTTGCAGACCTTGACGTCCCGTCCGCTCAGGACGTCAAGAGGCTCAGAGATATGGTCGAGAACGAAGACGAGGCCGAAGAGATATTGAAGCCTGCCAGGGACGGTGCCAGCATAGCAACGGTACTGTTCTGTGCAAACCAGATCTTCACTACAAAGGCGCCCAACTTCTCGTCAAGACGCCTGTTCGTGGTGACGGACAACGACTATCCGATCAAAGTCAAGGCAGACAAGGACACGGCAGTCACCCGAGCACGTGATTTGTATGACCTCGGCTGCACCATTGACCTGTTCCCCATCTCACAGCCAGATCATACCTTTGACCGATCGCGCTTCTTCGATGATCTTGTATATCCCACATCACCATCCGATCCCGAAGCCCCCGTTACTCTACCGTCGACCACCAAAGTTGCGAAGAGCGGCGAAGGCATTTCGCTCCTCAAGCAGCTCATATCCTCCATCAATTCCAAAGCCACACCCCGTCGCGCTCTGTTCTCGCTGCCCATGGAGCTCGGTCCTGATCTTCGCATCGGGGTGAAAGGATATATTCTCATCAAGCGCCAGGAACATGTCAAGTCGTGCTACGTTTGGGTTGGAGGTGAAAAGCCACAGATAGCGACTTCGTCAACACAACAACTGGCAGGCGATTCGGCGCGGGCCATGGAGAAGACGGAGATGCGCAAGGCGTACAAGTTTGGCGGCGATGCAATCACCTTTACGCCCGAAGAGATTACACAGATAAGACAATGTTTTGGGGAGCCTGTGATCCGAATCATTGGCTTCAAGCCTCTCTCCAGCGTCCCACTATGGGCCAACACGAACAAATCAACATTCATCTACCCTTCCGACGCAGACTACATTGGCTCCACTCGTGTCTTCTCGGCTTTACAGCAAAAGCTACTCAAGTCCCAAAAGATGGGCTTGGTATGGTTCATTCCACGTCGCAACGCTGCACCTACACTTGCCGCTCTTATACCCGGTGAAGAGAGGCTCAATGAGGAAGGCGACCAGTTGACACCACCGGGCCTTTGGCTTGTACCCCTGCCTTTCGCGGACGACATCCGCCAGTTCCCAACGCCACCAGAGCAGCCCCTCAAAACCACGGATGCGCTGACAGACAAGATGCGCCTCATCATTGAGCAATTGCAACTACCCAAGGGTGTCTACGACCCATCCAAGTATCCCAATCCAGACCTGCAATGGTTCTACCGCATCTTACAAGCGCTAGCCCTGGAAGAAGAACTCCCACTCCAGCCTGATGACAAAACGATTCCTCGCTACAAACAAATCGACAAGCGCTGTGGCGAGTACATTGAAGACTACGGCAGAGAATTTCAAGCAGCATACGAGCAGCAACATAAGTCTGCACTTGCCCACCGCGCTAAACCCACGGCCAAGAAACGCCCTGGCGGCGGCGCAGACAGTGACGATAAGCCAGTGCCCAAAAGGGTAAAAAAAGAGTCAAAAGTCAAAGCCGAAAGTGGAGACGAGGAAGAAGCAATGACTGACCAGCAAATGGCCGACCTGAATAATGGTGGAAAGATTAGCAAGCAAACGGTAGCCGTACTGAAGCAGTGGCTTGGCGCAAGGGGTCAGAGTACTGGGGGTAAGAAGGCTGAGCTTTTGGAGAGGGTGCAGGAATATCTCGACGGCAAGGGTTTATGAGGCCTTCTAATCGAAGGATGTGTGATGATCAAGCGAGGCGTTTCGGTGTCATGCTTCGCTCGCGTTGTCCCGCCAATCGAGTTCAGACTGAATTGCACGGATATGATACAGCAATCTTCACAGACTTGTACCACGGGTATACAATCTCTGCATGTGTGAAATCTTGTGTTCTTCTCATGATGTCATTGGGGAAATTCTTCATGACGCGCGTGTTATGCATAAGAAGGGGGTCGAAAGCGACTCCCAACCTTGCCCATGGCCATGGAGCTTAATAGCCTTCTAGCAATCACGCTGTAGCTCAACCCTCCCCACCACTCGCGTTCTCATCCTCCGAATCCTCCTCGTATTTTTGTTGCGTGGATTTGTCTTCGCGCTTCCTCTTGGTGGCTTCGATACCACCAGAGGTCAGGTAAAGGAACTGTGGGTCCTTGTAATTATCCAGATGTGTGAAGAAGGTGTTGAATCTAGAGCTTGTTAGCGTTCATGTCCGGTGTCGTGAAATCCAAAAAGGAACTCACTGGTTGCCTTCTGCCTCTTCGCGGAAGATGCGCTGGTAAATCTCCTTCTCCTTGAAGTCTTCAATCTTGTCGTTGTACTTGTCAAAGTCAATCGTCTCGCGTCCGTGTTGCTTAGCAGACTTTGCGTTGTACGAGTCGAACACCGGCCTCTCGAGTAATAAGCCCAGGCCGGGGGCCTTGGGTATCCGGACAACTTCGTTACCGAAACTCTTGTCCATGATTTCAGGATCGGTACCGCATCGTACTGTCAGGGCGGCCATGCCAACCATTTTGCGGATCTGGTGCATCATGAAGCTCTGGCCGTGTACCTTTAGGCTCAACCATTCTGTATCGTTGATAATGATGGGCTTGGGTGCGACTTTGAAGCTCTTGATATAGCGCTGGGCGGACTTGTCATTGTACTTCTTGTGCACGGTGTAGTTGTGGTAGCGGTGGGTTCCAAGGTACTTGTCAAGTGCGGCTTGTACACGCGCTTGTCGCTCGGGAGATATGCGATATGCTTTCTTGACGTCCAGGTATGCCTTCTTCAGAGTTTTGATGGCTTCCTCGAGGACCGGTTGGTTGACTACGCCTTCAGGGAGGGGACGAGAACCGTCAGTGGAGCTGTCGAGAGTGATGCTGGGTTCATTTTGTTGTATCGTGTCGATGACTTGCTTGACCTCGTCTGGTGGGTTTCCGCTTGTGTCGAGCCCACCTTCGTCTGGCTTTGCAGTTTGCTCCGCCGCTTCGACGTCCGTAGGCTTCTCTTGCTTGGTCTCATGATCAATCGATGCATCGACTATACGATCTTGTCCAGGCGGTGCATCGATCGCTTCAACGTTGTAAAGCGCTTCTTGTACGAGGGATCGTATCGAATCGTCCAGCGAGTCCAGAATGGGCTTGATGTGCTTCTCTTCCGTCTCAGGCCAGAAGTCGGCTACCTCAGCCTGTCGCTCGCGGTATCCCTCCACATCGTTCTCCGCCTCCGCAAACTCCTCCAATTTTTTCCCTAGGTAGCTCGAAGGATGCGGCGGGAGGAACGAGTGGGTCGGGATCAAGTATTCGTACCACCGTGAGTCGCACGCCTGATAACAGCTGAAGGAGCCAATGGTTCGCTGGATGCCCCACACCCTGATCTGCTCGGGGAGATGGCTGTTGATCTTGTCCACGATATCTTCCTCTTCGATGATCAACTTCAACGACACAATGTTGCCTGCTGCATGGACACCCTTGTCGGTACGCGCGCAACGAACGAGGGAGGATTTCTTGGGGTCGGATGCGTTTGCCTTGGATATGGCGCCAGCGGCGACAAAAGCGTTGAAGAGGTCTCCTTCAATGGTCTTTTGCTTGTAGTCGATCTGCATGCCCTTGTAGCCGGTACCTGAGTAGCCGATCATAACTGCAACTTTGCGCTTCGGCCTGCGCTCTTCTGCCTCGACTTCCTCTGCAGGGAACGCCGCAGGCAGGGCGGGCCGGTCCTCGCCCTTTTCCTCTTGCTCCTTATACTTGGCTTGTTGTTCGGCATTGCGGTCCCGTCGGTCTAGTTGGGTAGAGCTTGCTTAGTTAGAGACGGGCGCGGAGCAGATGGGCAACGGCTCACTGATGTTCCTTACGCCCCATATTTCTTTTCTTATTCGGACGGCTTCCATGCTGGTGCCGTCCACCACCTCCCCGCGAAGCATTTCTGCGGTCTTTGTCGGCCCATTTGCGCTTCTTGTCGCGTTGGTCGCGGCTCGACGAATCATGGTCGCGGCGGGGTCCTTCGTTGTCCGACATGGCCGCTGAAGACGAGTGAGCAGCTTTGTCCGGAAGAGCAAGCTGCGGGTCATAGGTAAGTTGGTGTGGAAGTTTCAGCGAAGTGATTGGCACTAAATTTGGGTGGACTCGGCACGCACGCCTCACCGCCTGCGTCACCGCTTACTGCCGCATGCGTACCTGGGTAGTTCCATCGCGCGTGCCTGCCTGGACTCTTACAACATTTCACCTTCGCTTCGACTCAACCACCCACTGTCTCGTCAGCCCCCCCGGCGCACGCACATCGCACAAGCTAGAGAACGATGCGCCCTTCCCGATCCACATAAGACCGTTGCAAACCGAGTGTCCCGTCTGCAACTTGGGCTGGCGCATGGGAATAAAGCCGTCCGTCCCCCACGCACCTTTCCGGCCGTCATCCGAGCTGAACCCGATTCCGTGCCTGCACCACCGCAATCATGGGCGCGGCAATCAAGGACCCCGTGGAGAAGAGCGGAGGGGATCCCGTACAAGCCGTGAAGCAGTTGCTCAGGACAGTCGTCCGTATGTTCTACGAGACCGAGCACATCGTCATTATGGACGCGCTCTGCTATCACGGCGCGCTGCCCGTGGCCGACATGACCATTATCCTCGACGCAGGCAAGAACTCGAAACATGTCAGCAAGGTTGCGGGTAAGCTTCGGGAGGCAGGGCTGTGTTCATCCTACACTCAGCATGTCCTGCGCCAGGGTGCAAACAAGGCATCAAGCAGAGAGTTCTTTTACATTGACTGGCGCCGCGCCGTCGACTCTGTCAAGTACAAGATTCACAAGATTGATGAGGGCATCAAGAGGGACGCGAAACCCACTACCGAGAAACCCGAGTTCAAATGCCTGAGATGCAAATCCACATACACGACCATGCAGGCGCTTGATCACCCCGATACGAACCCTGGGCCAGACGACAGCGGCTTCATCTGCGCGAGATGCGGATTCCGATTAGACGAGATCGACCAAGATATTCAAGCGGACGACGTCGACGACACCCCAGCCAAGTTCAATAAGCTGTTTGGCCCGCTGATCGAGATGATGTCAAAGATTCAGGACATGGGCAACCTTCCAGCGTTGGAACCGCCAGACATTATCAGCGAAAGGATCGAGCTTCCTCGAGATAGGAATGTCGACCCTGGTACGCAGGTCGAGGTTATCGAGACGACGGCCTCACGCCCAACCGCCGTCAAAGGCATTGACACAGGCCCAGAGAAGATCAATGTGCAGATAGGCTCGAGCGCAGAGCAAAACGAGAAGCAGCGAGCGGCAGACCGGGCTCGTCAAGAGAAGATATCCATGCAGAACCAGCTTCCCACTTGGCATACAAAATCAACTGTCATCAAAGATGCGGCAGGGAATACGACCACTGTAAAGCAAGAGGCAGACGGGATCGACAATGCCAGTATCAAGACGGAGGCAGGGGATACAATGGGCACCAATCAGAACCTTGATGCAGTCTTCGCCCAGATCGAAGCCGAACGCCGCAGGAAGGAGCAAGAGGACGACGACGAGGACGACGAGGATGACGATGAGGACGAGTTTGAAGATGTCGATGTGGGCACGCCCGGTGCTCTACCGGAAGCGAAGCGTGTCAAGCTGGAATCGTCCGCCGCTCCAACTCCTTCCGCCGCTGCCACACCAGCAGCAGCAACCCCAGCCGCATCCAACGGCGGCGATGAAAGCGAAGAGGATGAATTCGAGGATGTAAACTGATTGATCACATAGCGATGGCGTTTGTTTATCCAGGGTGGTCTCTGAAAGCATTGTCGGATGGCGTGTCTTTTCAATGGCGTTTTCGCATACACTGGGCTATGTTCACCGCTGGAAACATGGAAAGCGTTTATTTAGATTGCATGTACCAAATGAGATGACTTGACACTTTTGCACAAGGAGCCGAGCCATCGAAATAGCTCCAAGCATGCGACGAGGCGGTGTTGGTTGGTGTGGCCATTGAGTACATACAGCCTTAGAATACCAAGGCAGTGGAACGTGCAAGGGTCGTGTCCTAGGCGAGCTTGCACCATGCCACCTCAGATCCCCGCGTACCTTCACTAAGGCCTCCGCAGACCAGACCCCCCGCGAGCACACCAGCGCCCATCGCTGTCGCTTCAACACCTGCGCCGCTGCCCGATGGACCAAGGATAAAGCGCGAATCGACCATGGCCGCATCAACCAAATCCCTCTCGTCGCTGCTTGCGCAAGCCACCATCGCCGACCACGACGAAGTGCTCACGGCCGCCAATGCAGCCCTGGGCAGGTCCAAGGGCGATTTGGATGCGCAGCACACCAAAGCAGTAGCGCTGCTCCATCTGGACCGCTACGCGGATTCATTGCAAGTGTTTGAGGGTGCACACGAGCTGCAGGAGAAGGCGCGGTTCGAGTACGCATACGCCCTCTACAAGACTGGCAATGCAGCCAGGGCTGCCCAGGTAGCCGCAGCGGCAGGGCCAGACGCCGGCCGGGGGATGAAGCACATGCTTGCCCAGGCCGTATGTACTCGACGGCAGCGGGGCCGCAGACATCGCTGACACAGACACGCCAGGCATACCGCTCAGAGAACTTCGCGCACGCCACCAAGATCTACCGGGACCTCGCCGACCAGAACGTGCAAACCGAAGAGTACGATATCCGCATCAATGCGGGCGCCGTCGATGCACAGCTCGAGTGGACAGGCCAAGGCGAGCTTGCCCAGAAGAAGCAGCCCACACGTGAGGACCTCGACGTCTTCGAGACTGCCTTCAACGCAGCATGCGGCAGCATCTCTCGCAATGAATTTGGCCAGGCCCAGGTGTGTCTGAAGCGCGCCAAGGACCTGTGCAATGCTCTCTCGGACCTCAGCGAGGAAGAGAAGAAGGCCGAGTTGCTGCCAATTACCGTGCAGCAGGTCTATGTGCTCACGCAATTGGGCAAGACGGATGAAGCAGAGGAGCTGGCCACCAAGATCCCCTTCGCTGAGTAAGACGATCATGCCCGGCTCAGAACCAACACTGACAACAGCAGCATCAAGGAGCTCTCAACCCGCTACATCGCCCAGGTCAACACCATCGCCGCCTCGAAGCAGCACTCGAACCCGTACCTTTCACATCGTCTGTTCCACGCATCGCCGCAGCCCCCCGTCACCGACCAGCACTTCTCCTACCAGTCCAACATCCTGCGACAAGACGAATATGTCATGGCCCTGCTATCGCAAAAGGTCGCTGGCGTCGCATCGTCCACCGAGAAAGTCATCTCTGCATCGCCTGCTCCGTCCCTGTCCCCTGCCATCAATATGGCGGCGGTGCTCAACGCAGCAGCCCACGCCAGGAACGCAGACACCGAGAAGGCTGCGCTGAGGGAAATAGTACCATTGCTGGAAAAGAGACCGACCGATGTGGGTCTAATACTAACTATAACACACTTATACGTCATCACCAACAACTACGCTGCGGCAACACATCTCCTAGAATCCTTTTTCAAGCGTTTGGAACAGAGTGCCTCAGCCTCCGATCTCGACGTACGGTTCGCACCAGGGCTGATTGCCGCACTCGTCTCCCTGTACGCACAACAAGGCCGGCCCGGCGCGTCAAAGAACGAGCTAGCAAAAGCAGCCGAATACTGGCGGAAGCCTCACAAGTCGAAAACAGAGGCCCCATCAAAGTCTCTCATGGTCGCTGCCGGTACCGCCCTCCTTGATACTCATAATCCAGATAACGTTAGATCTGCAGGAGAGATCTTCAAGGGCTTGTACAACCAGGATAACGAAGATCGAGCGTCTATCGCTGGTCTCGTAGCCGCATACAGTATCACAGATCCATCGTCAATACCTGCGGATCTTTTGTCTTATCTACCAGAAGCCAACCGACTGGTATCCGACGTGGATGCCGTTGAACTTGAAAATGCAGGCGTCCCACTCGGTAGCCTCACGTCGGTCAATCTTGGAACAGAATCCCGGAAACGTAGCCTTGCACCAGGCAAGGAGGCGCCGGCCAGAGCGAAGAGGTTGCGCAAGTCGAGAATGCCAAAGGACTATGTCGAGAGTAAGAAGATGGACCCCGAAAGATGGCTCCCTATGCGTGATAGGAGCTACTACCGTCCAAAGGGCAAGAAAGGAAAGAAGAGAATGGAAGGCCTTACCCAGGGTGGAGTCGTGGCAGACGACAAGGGAACACCAGCCGCTCAGGAGAAGAAGGGTGGCGCTGAGAAGGGGAAAAACAAGAAGAAGGGCAAGGGTGGAAAGTGGTAGAAAGCAGCCTACGGTGCTTCTCTAGACAAAAAATCACAGATAGATCTGTATCGCAATGCCATCTAAGACGATACACCATATGCGAGTCATGTATCGATACCCCCCCTGCTACATGCGTACTTGCTGCTGGGAACTTGAAGCTACCCCGCTATCTCTTCAATGACCAGAACAGCGCGTCACTAAGCATGCGTTTCTCAACCACCATTCCGATTCAGTAATTCTTCATCTAAAATATGTCGGACGAAAAGCGGAAAGACTACTGTTACACGCAATGGACACGTTACGCGCCAGAGTGGGCGAAAACTGGATACCACTAGAAGCCGAGGTTCACCGTAAACATCTCTACATTAGCTCGAATCGACTCTATGCCAAGTACTAAGTAGAGCTAGCAAGTCCTTACATGCTCTTACGTCTGGGCTTAAGTTGTCCAGGATCAACGTGGAAGATCTAGTAGACCCCACCGCAGCTTCGAGACTGTTTAGCTCCTGTTGTACTTAAAAGGCCTCTTCAATCATCAACAATTTCGACAGCAAACTACCACATCATCTACCCAATTACATACAGAACACTATTTCATAACATACAGAAAGATGCCGGGCCAACAAACTCGCCAGTGGGTTCTTGCCAACCCACCACTCAACGACCCCGTCATTGAGGGCAACGACGCGACCTTTTCGCTCCAAACCATTGACCTCCCAAGCCCAAGCGCTGATCAAGTCCTTATCAAAGTACTTTACTTCTCCAATGACCCCGCACAAAGAGGATGGTGAGTCTGACCACACAAAAAAATCCCGTAGAACACGACTGACTTGTGTCTACAGGATCCAGAAAGACATGGACCCTGAGCGCCTCTACGTGGAGCCGGTGAAGCAAGGTGGAGTAATGCGTTCCTTCGCCATTGCCGAGATTGTCGAATCCAGCACCGATAGCCTGCCCAAGGGTCAACTCGTCATGGGCGACTTCGGCTGGACAGAATATGCCGTTGTATCCAACAAAGCCGTTCGACCCATCCAAGCCGACGAGAGCGCCGGCATACGCCCCACGCACTTCATCGGTGCACTCGGCGGAACAGGCCTGACCGCGTACTACGGCCTCATCGACATCGCGCGCGCCTCTTCCTCCGACACGGTCGTCGTTTCCGGAGCTGCGGGAGCTACCGGCTCCATGGTTGTGCAACTCGCCAAGCACGTTCTTGGATGTAAACGCGTCATCGGCATTGCCGGTGGTGAGAAGAAGTGCCGCTGGGTCGAGAGTCTGGGCGCAGATGTTTGCGTCGACTACAAAGCCGCGTCTTTCGAGGCTGACCTTAAGAAAGCCACGGAGGGCTACGTAGAAGTCTACTTTGACAATGTTGGCGGCGACATCTTGTCGCTCATGCTGGGTCGTATGAAGCGCCACGGACGCATCGCTGCGTGCGGCGCCGTCGCAACGTACAACTCCATGGGCGACAGCGGCGTTAAGAACTGGTTCGAGATTATCAGCAATCGCATTGAGGTCAGAGGCTTCATTGTTATCGATGCTATTGAGTCGGGCAAGGCTGGTCAGTATATCCAGGAGTTGATCAAGGGAGTCAAGGAGGGCAAGCTCAAGGTTGGGCCCGAGACGGAGACAGTGGTTAAGACTAAGTTTGAGGATGTGCCCAAAACTTGGATGATGCTTTTCCAGGGTGGCAACACGGGCAAGTTGGTTACGGAGGTGCAGGCCTAGGTTAGCATACGACCAACTGCATAGATGTTGAGTCAATGTTACAAATGGAAAGTACTCAAACCGTGCATCGCACAGGAACAGGTGTGACATTTGCATATCCGGAGATGTATATCCACAGCATATGTCATTTCGTGTAAACCATAGGCCAATTCAGTCTTCGCAGTCGCTTTGTCCAACTGAATCACTCTTTACCGTTGTGCTCCCTTGACTTGCATGCTTGAACTTAATGGCGAACGGCTTTTATATGACTGTAGCTTGCATTATATCTGGCGTTGACCCTTAGGTAGACTATCTTTCAAAAAGTAACAAGTCATTGCTATCTTTGGGGGTAGACGCTTTAGTGGGTGCTAATTGTTGTACATGGGTTTCTGTGCATCATGATAAGCAAATGTAGACAAAACTTACTCTGAGTGAGACGGCGGAGAAAATCGAAGGCAGCTTCTACAAGCAGGTATGAGTCGCCGTATGAGTGTAAGATGTCTTCACTGCGTCGCGTGATATGAAGGAACACGAAAGTCATAGTTAATGACCTCTGAGTGACTATAGGTAGTTTGCCCACCCCTAACCTGCAAACTATGATGAGAACATGACGATACTTGTGAGTTGGCCCATCTTGAGGTACTCGCCAATGGAGAAGTGGTGGCACCACCCAAGCTTCCGTCGAAACGATCCACGCTGTAGACTTGGTGTAACATGCGCATGTTAGAGTAGCTACGCCTTGCAAACGGAGTCATTAAGGAGAGTTCTGTCAAGTGTAACAGGAAGAAAACTGCGATGCCATTATTTATTTCGTCATAGTCTACATGGAACCCTTCAAATATACCGCGGGTTGCCCTGCACGGTCTTCTTGACATTCTCGAAAGGTTCTAATGCGATGGGCGCTTGATAGAGCTCCGGTACTCTCGCGCCCATGTAAACTTTTGCGCACCATCCTGCTTCGGTCTGTGCTCCCTTCATCTCGTAGTATTTTCTCGCAACCATAAGCGGTGTCAACGATCCGAATTTTGCAGTGTAACCAGTGACGGGCCGACAATTGTACGGCACGCTTCGACATATCGAATCTGCATAGCTGCTGAGCTGGCGGTCCCACATGTACAATTGCTTCATATCGAGTTGTCGATGCTGCCGGAGCAACTTGAATGTGTTGCCTTGCAAGATCAACATGCTCATCCAGTAGATAAGGTAGCAAATGCCGGCCCCAAAGTAGTGGAAGTAGAAGACGGGATCGAATACGCGGTCTGCGCAAATATCCAGGAAGCCATCCATGAAGGCAACGTCTACCGTGTCGTATCGCGGACCGTGTCTTTCAAACGTTGAGAGCCACTCAAAAGCACGGCTAGCGACTTGTTGCGAATCCTCAATGAGAGAATCAATCTCCTCCTTTGGACATTCTGGTCTGGTGGCCTTGTCCGTGCGCTCCAGGAGTCGTGGGATGTGTATGCAGATGTCGTTCAGAGCCACGTACGGATCCACTTTTGCCGCTTTGGCAGTCACTGATAACCATTCCGTGCTGTCTAGCATTGAGGCCTTTCGCATGTGGTAGCCGATACTCAGCTAGCAGGCATTAGCGAGGCTGTACAGCATACGACAATACGATTCCTCATACCGAATTGTACCGTATGGCGTGGAAAATTTGCATGCTCAACCGACTCTCGAATGAAGCTGGCCCACGCTGCTTAAGAAGATGTAGAAGTCCCTGGACATGGTAGAAAAAGCCATGACCTTGTGTAACACCTACGAAAACCTATGCGAGCGGTTAGACCTGATAGCAAGAGCATTGGATGAGATCGCTTGTACCTCGTAAAGCGTGAGCATATACGTTGATAGCAGTGTTTCGTCTTTGAGTGCTGTCACTGGATCTTGTATTGCGCGCAACATCTGACTCAGGGCTGTGCCATATAGCGACCTGGAGCGATGGATGAGCGGATGATTTCTGTTGTTCACCGCCAGTTGCGCTGCAGAGAGAGCATCAATTGCAGCCATGAGTACCGGGCTGTTCGCGGGCATAGTAGGTAGGCCAAGCATCAGGGCTGAAGGGGGCGGCAACGCCGGACCCTCAGCTCTGGGCAAATACAGGGCAATGAAGGTTCCCAGATGCTGTATTCTGTCGGCGGCAACTGCGCTGACCTGCTTGGGCAGAGGCGCATCCTCAGGCTCCGTTTGCGCATCTTCTCTGCGTACGATGGCCTTGCTTGAGAAAGTTGCGTCGTTTTGTGAGCTTGACGAAGCTTGACTGGCGTACTTGTAGCGATTCTCATCCTCCTTGATCAGGGATGGCTTTTCTCCGTGTGCATCGAAGTTGTGGAGAATAAAAGCCTGTGCTGGCCGATAGCCAGGGCATTTTGTTCCGCGCCTCACGCAGGTATTGCACTCTGGTTTGGTCTCGTCGCATCGAACCTTTCTTTTCCTGCACTCGAAGCAGCCAGCCGATCGCTTTGGCATTGTGAGACTACCCGTGGGACCACCACTGTTGAGACCTGGGAGGATGCGATGAGATATGGCACAAGATGGCTGATGTGTAGTTCCGTCTCCTGTCTTTCCGGTATGGACTGGGCTGCTAGGGGCGAGGGCCGTGAAGGGCGCACACCACGCACCGCCCGCAGACGCGGCCGCTAGAGGCGATGGCCAAGAGGCACCCCGTATTCAACGGTGTTGGCCAATCAGTAGTGGCGGTGTCAGCGCTATCACCGGCTGGCTTCCAAGCTTTGCAGCCCTTCCCGCATGTGCTTCCCCTGGCATGCTCGTGCCAAAGTGACGGAAAGTGATGAGGGGTTCGAAGAGCTCGTTGCCTTCCGGGCGCTTCCTCGGCCCAGCAGGCGCGCGTCTTTACTGGAATGGAACAACTTCTCTTCCAACAAAGTATGGACTATGCATTCCTCGCGTGTGCCTAAAACTCGCGATAGTCCTAAATCCAAAACACGAGCCGAACGCTATCCCGGGGCGACCCCGCGATGCGGTGCAGTCCGGTGCACGGCTTTATTCGCTCTAAGCGAACCTTCCAAGGTTGGAAGCGGCGGACCGTCCAACGCAATAAAGGAGACGAAATCATGACGGGACTCTAGAAATCGACAACTTAGTCGATTGCTTGATGTTCTGGCGTATGGCGATATCGGTCGAGGGCGGAGGGAGGAAACCACGGCAAATGAAGTTGGGAAGCCGTCGTGATGTCTGCGACTGGTCACCTATTGACGGAAATTTTAGTACATGCGTCGATAGTCATGCCACATGTCATCGATGACTGTGGGAAGCGTACAGCGTCTGTCTCAACATAAGCTGCAGAGTAAGACCGCGATGTTATATGGTCCGCTATTGCGACACGCGCTTTCATCCTGGAGGATCCTACAGCACGTGGTCGCCTCTCCATCTGGCAAGGCTTTGCGAAACCTCTCCACTTATTTCGTATTTAGGAAGGAACTGCGACCAACGCGCAAAGACACATTACCCACACATGTGGTGGCTTGTTTGTCAATGGTGGAGCCTCATCGGCATGCAACACTAGTAATTCCAGCGTATCGTCGGTCGACGTACTACAGGTCAGAGGACTCTCGAGCAGCGACAGGAATCATTCTAACTAGCATTTCATGGGCAAACAATGGAGAACCACCGAAAGTGATCAAGACATGGCAACAGGACCTGGCCATTGATCTTACAAACTACCACTATGCTGTAACGCTGGTATCTGCTTCAGCTGAACAAATTTATCGAACGCACCAGTCAACGACTGATACGAGTCGATATGGCCGGTCCACCCAAATCTCCTCGCTTTGTTAACGCTCAACGTTGCCGACCACGTACGCTGAAACACCCAATCCTGGAAAGCCCACGTACCAGATGCCCAAGTCGCCTTCGCTTCAGGACAACCGTTCTTTTCACAGATGCGCTCCCAGACCTCTTGCTTGTCCACAGCCCACTCAGCCAAGCTGAGATCTAGTTGCGTCTCTCCTTCTGATGGACGAGGCTTTTCAAAGATCTGCTCACTTGTTGCGCGGGCCCCTGCGTAGGCGGCGATGCGTGGCCACATGTATCTCCACGAAAAATAGTCACCGTTGACGACATTGAAGGCCTGATTCCCAGCGTGTGGATGTGTGGAGGCCCATACGGTCAGGTCGGCAATAAGTCTGGAGTCGGAAAGGTCGTCGTATCCTTCCCAATACAGCTGGTTCGTCGGCATACGCGCCTCAACGCCCATCTCTTTGCAAACGAGAAAGTACAAGGCATATGTCAAAGCTGAATTCATGCCGTTTGGCTTGGACGTGTGGCCGATAATGGCTTCTGGCCGGATGACGTTCCAAGTCCAATTCTGGCCAGTTTGGCGTGTCGTTAGGTAGTCTTCTTGGGCGAAGTAGAAGTTGCCAAGCGGACTTTCCCTTCTGGGCTCTTCCTCCCGAGCTGGAGATGGCACGGGACTGACGTGAACATTGTAGTGTTTTCCTCCAGTCTGAAGCGTACAGTTCTCTAGACTGGGAGCCACGACTAGTAGAGCGTCCAGGAAGTTGGCGAAGAGCTTTTCGTTGGCGTGGTTGAGTTCCGCAAAGTCGTCTTTGTGTACATACGAAGAGAAGTATGCATGAGTAACATCTTGGCATGCTGAGCGCATCTTTTTGATCAAGGCATCGGGATTATCGGTAAGATCGAGGGCTAAAAACATTATACGGTCATCGTGAACGGTGGTCTTGAAGGGCGACCGCGACGTGACGACAATCTTCCTCCACTCGGCAGAGGTCGTATTCTTCACGAGGTGCTCGATGATGGCTGAGCCTGTTATTCCATTGCCACCTGTAACTAGTGCGACTTTAGACATCTTCTTTGGCGTACAGGAGAACGAGGACCTGTTTCCAAAGGGTATGGGTATGGAGTTGCAGTTGCTGGGAAGGATGAGCGGAGGAGATGCTCTGCCGATAGCGAATTATCAGGAATGGGACTGCGCCCTTCAGTCAACGATGTCTTCCATATATCTATCGCAATGCGCACGAACTGTACTTTGAGCGCGCCATCTGCCAAGATTGTAACCCGCCTCTACGCAAACGCGGATGCCAAGTGGCATTGGCGCTGCCGAAACTCCTTGCAGTCTGGGGTAAGGAGGTCAGCAACGATGCCATTGGCGACACCAGCATCTTGGTAAGGGTGTTCAATGAAACAAAGTACGGCTTGGTACACCCGTGTGGCATGGGTAAAGTGGTATTTCGCCTTCCAGGCGTAAGATGTAGTGACGTTGCGGGGAAGCGTGCAAAAAAGATGCCATACAGACCTAGCACTCGTAATCAAGAGATTGGCGGCAGACACAGGTCACAACACACATAGCTATGTCGCTCCTTCTAGTGGACGGAAGGAAAATGCCGCCAGCAGCTGGTATGAACTCTACCATCAGGTCGATTGCGCTGATGACCCGTAATCGGGACGCTAGCCTACAGCCAGCAGTACTACGGTCATGAATAGACAAATCCTCCTTGAAGATAAGTAAGGAGGCTAAGTTATGCCATCAGTCCAGGCAACTCCAGTATTTGACTACTGAGACCGAATTCCAAGGGTTATATTGTGCTCACTCACATGAGATTGCACTGTGATCGAATTGTCACATTCATTTGTGAGATCTGGGACTGGTAACAAGATATTCAAGCAAAATCTATACTATGCCCTGCCCAAGATCTGCTGCAACACTTCCGAAAGCTTCGCGGTTGGGTTTGCCACTAAATCCACGCAGCGCCAGCCAACGAAGTGGTCAGGCCTTACCAACACAACCCCTCTCTCCCCGACACCTCTCACTTGATACCACTCCCGGTATGCGTCCATGTAGTCGCCTCCGAAGCCGATCTTATAGGCGCGAACGAATACACCACTCATGTCCGAAACCTCCTTCGCAGCATGTAGCCAAGCATCGCCGCCGACGCCTGTGAGTAATGTCAAAGACCCTCGTCCACAGAGATCCAGACTTGAGAGTCTTTTTGCTTGCCCATTGGCTGCTAGCCAGACATGTGGAAGGTGATACCCGGGATAGGTGCTGGTCTTAATCTCTCTCAAAGCGTTTATATGGTTGAATTCGGGGGCAATATCCCCACTTTCAATCACCACTGCAGATGTGTTCAGGTAGACCTGGTTCATTTGGATGCCCAGTGCTTGCACTTCATCCTCGGTAGCTTCCAATGCCTCTCGAAACTGATCGCGCATCTTCTCTCCTTCTGTCGAGTCGGACTTGAGCAGATCGGTGGCCTTCTTCCTGGACGAATTATCCAGGCCAATAAGTGCCCAAAGTGTTCGATGCGCCTCCATTCCATCATTCGCGCGGCGGACGATGCTGTCGCCTACGGGCTTGCGCTCGACCGTAAGGGTATCAAGGAGAGATGGTGAAGCTAAGCCTTTGATAACATAAGCCAACTTCCAAGAGATGTTGAAAGCGTCTGATATGCACGTGTTGCTGCCGAGTCCGTTTATAGGGGGATGCCTATGTGTCGCGTCGCCGATACACAGCACCCTGCCGCTTTGCCAACTCTCAGCAACTTGATCATTGATTGTCCAAGAAAACGAGGACAATATTTCGATATCAATCGAGTCGTCGCCAATCATCTGGTACAGCCGCTTCAGAATGGCGTCCTCGGTTGGCTGAGAGCTGTTCTTGTCCTTCGTCGCTGGGTGCATCGACACCACCCACTCCGTCCAAGGCCTGACCATGCGAAAATTACCCACAGCCGACCACTCTGGCGCAACGGGATTCAGTACCCAGTTGAGGCTTCCTGGTCGATGCTGAATGTACTTAGATAGGTCGGCTTTGATATGGATGTTGAAGGCGGTGTTGAGCTGGCGGCCAAGTACTGGTATCTTGAGAGCCTGCAACACAGCGCTCCGGGCGCCATCTGCTCCGATTAGATAGCTGGATGTTATATTGTACTCCTCTCCGGTCGATCTGTTTCGCATAGTCGTAACGATTACGTCAGCTATCTTCTCAAAACGCACGAATTCAGTGTAAAATCGGAACTCGGCACCGTGCCTCGTGGCTTCTTCGATCAGAACTGGCTCGAGGTAGCTTTGAGGCAGATCCGACATGGCGCAAGGACTCGCTCGCTCATAGTCGCTTTTTTGGGATGGTCGGTTACCCCAAGCCCAAACGCGACCATACTCTTCGCCAGCTAGTGTGTTCAGCCACGAGGTATGCTGCATACCTGCACTCGATTAGCACATGCTCGACATTTGGGATACAGGTAGCTGGTACTCCCAACGCAGCGAACATACATTCTGCAGTGCTTGCTATCGTGCCCAATTTCTCCTCGATACCCGCGTCCCTCAAAACTTCCATTGCCCTTTGGTTGAAGATGTGCGCTCGAGGGGTATTTGCCGTGCCGCTGTGTCTCGATATTGAAAGTGACTTCACGCCTTGTTGAGCCAGCAGCAATGCAGTGGTGGCGCCAGAGGGGCCCGCACCAACGATCACAACAGAATATTCCATGCTTCGATAGACAGGAGCGGTTCTTTGTACAAATCTGATTAGATGCTGAATACAGTAGATATGTTCACCACAAAAAGCACATCATGCTGTTGACGGCCAAGCATCTTGAAGACATACGCGGAGTCTAGTCGAGGCTGATCAATTATTCCAATGGTTTGTCGTGGCATGTCCACGACCTGTGCAGACTCTTGGCCTACTAAGTGGTATGTGTTCCGCTTGCATCACGTGCAAAGGACCATAAGTGCATCAATTTCGGCTTTCAGATGCGGCTTCATCAGTCACCGCTGAAGGACGCAGTCTGATTAGTCGCAGCCATTCAATCTTTTCGGAGATCGCTATGTTCGATCTGCTGTTGGTGGATTACATACCACTTTATCCGGAGCATGTACGCGATTCTCCGCAGTGTACTCCACAGCAATGAGGTAACTCTGGGCGTAGAAAAGTGGCTGCGGGGTAGAACCGGAAGTCGACCTTTGTACAGAGCCACTGTATTCCGAAGGATGATGGGGGAAAATGTAAATGTTGGAAAAAGAAGGTTGTCTCCTGGCTAAATTTGAGCTACCTAGGTAGGGCTGCGGCCCATGCTGTGAGCTAGGGTGCAAGTGCTACAGAAGTCCATGACGTCACACTAATGCCGGACGGCTTTTGTGGCAGCTCTCTCCGGGTGTCAGAAATTGAGCAGGATTTGGGTGTCGCATTAAGAAGATCCACGCGACATTAAGTCCTCGCCAAAGGTCTTCGTAGAAGAATCATGCTGTACAACGCGTTTTTGGTCATCAAAATCGCGTGAAAATACTTTCGCCGCAAAGAACTTCGGTATCATCTGGCGCAATTCATTATGACGGTAATAGCTGCTGCAGTAGCAGAGACTCCCGTCGGACTACTGCTAATGCTTCGATGGGGGCTGATTGCTGTCTCCCTGCATCTGTTGAACACTCTCGTGAGCCACACCCATCTTCTTGCTATTAGAATCCCAAACGGAACTGACAGAACAACGAATTGTAGATCTTGTACCCTTTCTTGATGTCTCCAGTTAGACATATACCAGGCCCCTGGTACGCGCGGGTCTCCAAGTTGCCACTAAAATATGCCACGTACAAGCGTAGACGGTCGGACTACGTTACGAAGCTTCTTGATCGGTATGGACCCATTGTCGTCATCGCAACGGATCAAGTTCACACTGTGGACGAAAATGCAATGAAAACGATATATGACAAATCTGCACTCAAGACCTCATTCTATTCCTCGATGGGAAGCTGGAAAGGCGTCGTGTCCACTCTCGGTTTCGTGGACTACCCGTCTGCGGCCCCATCACGCAACAATTTGATCCAATGCTTCCAGAACAAAAACCTCGCGGCTTTGGTGGAGAACATCCAGTCGCACGTCGAGGATTTCATCCAGCTGCTCCATCGTAAGGATGAGAACGAAGAAGCCGTTGACGGAGTCGTCGTCTTCCGCTTACTCGCGCTGGACATTGTGACCGATGTACTCTGGGCCGAAGAACACAGACTGCTGCGCAACTACAAGGAGGACGACGCACCCGCTTTTCTTCGACGGTTTCACGCGTTTAGCACTTGGAACGCAATGAAGAGCTTCATCCCTGGAGCAGATTTCTACGTCAGATGGTTCGGCAATGAGAAGTGGAAGACATTGAGGAAAGATTGCCATGATATGGATGTCACGGCAAAAGAAGCTTTGAACCGCTGGGAGACTAGTGAGAACGCTGCTGGCCGACAAAAGGATGTTCTCTCGATGCTGCAGTCTATGAACAAAGTAAACGCATCTGCCGTTCCTCCGGAAGACATTCCCGCATACATGGTCGAGATGCTCGCAGCGGGTTCTTCGACTACTTCGCATACCGCTGCGTTTGCTTGCTGGCTTCTGACTCGCCATCCCGAGGCCCAGGAGCGACTTCGTGCGGAACTCATTGAAGCCTTGCCCGACTTGGAAAGCTTCGATATCAAGCGCACCATGAGTCTCGAATTTCTCGACGGTGTTATTCGGGAGACCATGCGGATGTACCCTATGATCCCAGGGCCACTCGAAAGACATTTGGGGAAGGATCTTGTAATTGCTGGAAAGCAAGTCCCGAGAGGCGTGATCGCATCGACTGCAGCGCTCAACCAGGGACAGCTAGAAGAGGTTTATCCAGAGCCGCAGCTTTGGAAACCTGAGCGCTGGATCGGCGCTGACGAACGTATGAAACTGAACTGGATTCCGTTCGGCCATGGTTCTCGTGCCTGTCCGGGCTCGAATCTGGCTTTGACAGAACTCAAGTACATGCTAGGTTTGATCTTTCGCAAGTTCAAAGCAACAATGCCCCCCGGCATGGAAGAAGACAACCTGGCTCTGGCGGACGTCTT